CAAAAACATCTGTTGCTCTTTTTGAGGTAACAAAGTATGGGAATCTGAGGGGGTGCCCATAAATTAGGCAACAGCTGAATAAATTACAGTATATAAATGTAATGGAATGCTACTATGCTGTAAAAAATGACAAAGGTGGTAATTTCTGAGAAACCTGCACTTATTTGAACTGATGCAGAATAAACAATCAGAAGAATCATCACTACAAAGACAAAGATATGATAGACAAACAACTCTGAAAAATATCATTATATTTAGTAATTTTGAAACTTGCAGTGATTTTATTACAGTTTCTACAATTTCCTTTAATAATGTGTAATGAACAGTAAGTAAAGGTTCCTTAAATATGCCTTTTCTAATTTCTGGTGGCAATGACTAGATCCTGAATTGATATCACAACCCTTCCATTTCAGTAAACAAATCTGAATGACTCAGTCATCTCTTAGATACTTCTCAACATATTGTTGCTGAGTTTATATGAATGGCATCCCATACAGGTCATTTTTAATTCCATTTTGGATCTTAGCATATTTTTACTGGCTTTGTCTACAGATAAACTACTTTCAGTTATATTAGACAAACCCAATGATGTGTACTTGTCAGCATTCCTTTCTATTACTTGAAGCGGTCTACTTGTTTCAAAAGCATTTCCGTAGGTTTTTGATTTATCATTTGCTCTTAGAGAATGTTCATCAAAAAGGAGGAAATAGATTGATAGACAATCTATTGATAGCTACCTTCCCTAAAGGGATAGGTCCTATGTTTTGTTAATATTGTATGGGTTTTTGTGAGGATACTTTGAAGTTGTTACTGAAAAGTTCTACTTCTTCTTTGTCCATTTTATCGTTCCAAAAGTGTATGTTATCTGGCATTGCACAGATGTTAACCGCTTTTAAATGTGTTCTTTGTATTTGGCTTTGATTTCAAGTTGCCACTAAGTTTCTTGACATACACGATATTCTCCTAGAGAGCCTCCTATCTTATGAGGGCCTGGAGAAGAAGACTAAGGCCCGATTTGAACAGGAGTCCTCCTGACTCCAGGGTCAGTGCTCTATCCACTCTATCCACTAGTTGCCCCTAGAAATGATTTTAAGACAAGTCATTATCCTGTTGATGTTCTTTTATATTTAATGCTCTATGAATTATTGCATATGTTGACAAAATAACTGCTTCTCTGTAGTTGATAGAAAAAAAAACATTAGGATTGTAAACTCATCTCCAAAGGAATACTGTAAGCATTTCTGATCAAACTCCAAGAGCTGAAAAGACAACAGGGATGACATATACTTCATCCCTGCTCCCCCAGGGTTTTGATTTCTTCTCTTCTGAAAGCTTTTCATTCCATATAGCTTGGAGATTATGATTATTTTTATGATGACCTATATTAAAAACATTTTTAAAGTTTTTATGTCTCAGAAATTGTGGGCAACGGTTTTGTCTGTCAAAAGGTTTTACTGCAGGTTTCTGTTAGAGTTCTCCAAGACACCTTGAGGTCTGTAATTTTAGCACAAAAATTTATCACCTGTCAGTTCATGAAAGATAGCAAGCTTCTAATATATCATCAAAGCCATTTAGTCATGTCTTGATCAGTATTTAGTAGGTATTAAATTTTTGCAGCCTGTAAAATAGTCAATAAACATGTATTAAGTACCTACTATGTTCCAGGCACTGTGCTTAAGCACTGGGGATACAAATACAAAAAATAAGATAGTTCTTGATCTCAAGAAACTAATGGGGGAAGACAAAACACAAAAGGAAGCTGTAAAGTGTGGAGAGATGTTATAGCAGGTGGATATATTCAAAATGGGGGCATGATGGAGAAATCAATCATAGAAGTCCCAAGGTAGTAGAGCTAGGTGAGAAATCAGATGTCTGAGCTGAGGTGTCTCCTTAAACGGAGGTTTGGATTTCATGGCCCTACTCTCCAATCAGACAGGCAGAGGGTGGTGATGAAATTTTTCCAACAATGGGGCATGGTGGAGAAGTCACTCAAGAGGTTCCAAGGTAGTGCAGTGAGGGAAGAAAAGAAAAGTGATGTAAGAAATGAGTGAAAAATGCTGCCTTACATAATCTTCATTGATAAGTAAATTCTAGTTCCTTAAAAATAATCCTATAATTTGTGGTGGCAATGACTAGCAATAATAACGATAGTTATTTCCACTACTCTACCACTATTACCAGCATTTACTCCTCTTTTTCCCTCTCTGCCTCCTTGAGTATTTATGAGTCTCTTAAGTGGAAGAGGGCTTAGACTTTTTGCTTAATCACAAAGGACCTGGAGTAAAGAATACTCATCTTCCTAGTTAAAATCTGGCCTCAGACACTACTTGTGTGACCCTGGGCAAGTCATTTAACCTTACTTGCCTCAGTTTCCTCATCTGTCAAATGAGCTGAAGAAGGGAATAGTAGCATCTTTGCCAAGAAAACCCCAAATGGGGTCATGAAGAATCAGTTGTGGCTGAAAAATGACAGAACAACAAAAGGACAATTGAGGTTAAGAACAAAGGGCAGACACTGCAGAGAAGCTGATTTCACCTTGATATAAGGAAAAATTTCCCGACAATTATAAACATATAAATGAGGAAATGGGCTACTTTTGGGGGAAATATGCTTCTGTTTGCTACAGGCTTTCACCTGAAAGATGGGTGACTGACCACTTATAAGGGAGGAGGTAATTTTTCAGCTACAGCTTAGATTAAATGGGTCTGAGCTTTTTGCACAACTCTAGAGACTTTTCAGGGGTTTCCTAGTTGACAGAAGATAACAGAAACATACAGTGCACACAAGTTAACGAGGTTTTTTTACTTCTTTTACCAGTATCCAGCAACTGGGGAGCAACTGTGGAGAAGGTGAATGTTGGGAGTAATTTAGGGTCAAGGACTTGGAAGGAAATGAGGAATGAAGGTCAAAGAACTCAATTCAACGATGAAGGAGAGTGAGTTTTTGAAACTATAAAACTAAACTTAGGGTCGAGACTGTTAAAGAAGGAAAAAGAGGTTACTAGAGAAACAGGGAAGGATTAGTGGTCAAGGTGAGGAAGAAGCGCAGGAATATAAATGAGGCAATGGGAAAGGTAGAAGCCCAAGAGAATGATCAGAGGGAAATTTCAGGGTTCAAGAAGAAACACTCTAGTGATCCAAAGTAAGAAACTCTAAATATTGCAAAAATGAGTTATTTCATGTTATTACTCTATTGCTATCATCATTATAAGGCAATTTTTCCCCCCAGAAAGACTAGCTTCATTTTAAGAAAACATTTGGAGCCAAATACAATGTTTTTCCCTTTCAGTTGATGAAGTAGCTGGTAATCTTAGTATTAAACTGTTCATTTGCTCTAAAAAGAAATAAGCCACCCTACACACACAATTATATGTTTGTCTGACAGACTATAATCATAGTTTCTAAATTAAAAGGAAATCACATACACCTACAAAGAACATAAATCTCAAAAATAGCTCTTCAATCATTATTATTGTTAAGATTGCTAAGAAAAACTTTGTTGTAGAATAGCATAGAAATAAGCATTTGTCTGAGGCATAAACAAGAAGAAAAAAAAACTAGAAATACAAATAGAACAGTCTTAAGTTAAGTGCAACCTAGTTAATCATAAATTAGTTATTTCTGAGTCAAGTAATCTTACAAGAACATAAAATGGATTCTTCATACCTCAAAGCAGGACTCTAAACTAATGAAAATGTTTAAAGGATGCCAAAAAGATGCCTAATCATTGTGAATTAAGTGTATTTTATATAATATATATTATTTATTATATATTATAATTATATATAATTAATATTTAGCTATTTTAAACTTTATTTCTATTTAATTTATTCAATTACTTTATGATAAAATTAATTATTTTAAGTATTTATTTAATAAAGTTTATTTAATATTTAATATTTAAATGCATGCATGTATATACACACATATATGTATGTGTATATGTGTGTGTTTGTGTGTATTCCTAAGGCTTTTATGCCATCTTCTGAATAAACTCAAGTTAATTTATTGATTAAAACATGGTAAAATGATATATTTAATAATTTTTTTAAAAAGAACAAAGCCTATCTTTTTAAAAAAATGCAAAGTCCCTACAAAGTCTCTGTTTTTAAAAAGGAGGAGGAATATATGTTTTTAGGAACCTAAAATGAGCAGATTATAATACCTAGGCAATAAATCTGGTTCTGATTTTGGCAATTAAGGAAAAATGGGAACTCACTGTATGTCACATAGTTTTGTCTTTCTCATAATGGAAGATACATTGGTTTACTGGCTCATTGATCCAGAGCTGGAAGGAACTGCAAAGATCATTTAGTCTTTTTGCTGGGAAAATTTTCATCTCCTTTAATTGAATCCCAATAGGAATTTATCAGGTTGGTCTTTATATAAAGGATCAAGTAACACTGGATCCAAGATTTAGAGTTAGAAGAGAGAAATCATTTAGTCCAATTACCTGATTTTACAAATGAGGAAAATGACTTCCAGAGAAGTTAAGTAACTCTCTCAAGGTAGTAATATAGAACTGAAATTCAAAATCAAGTCCCTTAATTCCAAATCCAGCACTCTTTGCACTATAAAATGATGTCACTTCTTTAAGCACATAAATGTTAGTGAACATTGTGACTTATGAAATTTGCAAAACAAAATTACCTTTTAAGTATATTTTTAGTTATGTTTTCAACATGACACTTCAGTCCCAATAACTAAGCTTGTTCCATCAACTGAAGTGAATTAACACTGTTTACACTATTTCCAATACTACTCAACAGGACTTTCTGTCAACAGAATTTTCACAAGCTGATTTTTAAACTTTGTAGAAAAAGAATAATAGCTAATTTGCATGCCTATATGCAGATACGACTAACACATAGTATTCCATAATCTTGTATTTTCAAATCCTGCATTTTCAAAAACTTTTCAGGATTAATGTTCCAAATATGAACCTCAGGTGACCCAATCTAAAACAGCAAATGCACCATTTGATTTCAAAACACATCTTACCTTTTGCAGTTTTGTAGGGCCTTGAGATTTAGGTGGGAAAGTACAAGGTATTCTTCCATGATGGATATGATAAGGTAACAAGACACTGGGATCTAATGGAACCCAAGGAACAGAAAGACTAGATGGTACAGTGGGTAAGCTGCAATGAGCTTTATGCAAATTATAGGCTGTTCTAGAAAATTTTTCATCAGAGTTTTTGTAGATCAAAAGCGAAGAATCTTCAGCTGCATGACTCAGCAAGTACGAGCCCTCCTGCAAACTAAAGTAATACACGCAATTTATTACAATTCAACATTTCTGATGATTACATCAAATTCAATACCATTTTCTTAATTTTGATTCATCTAACAAATTGAAAATAACTATGCAATTTCAGTGATGAAACTTTATTTAAATACTGTTAATAAAATGCCACCTCCAAAGCCAATATTTTTATAAGCAAATAAACTATTCTTACTTTTTATTTAGTAATATTTATCTCCTATTTATCTAGTGTATGGCCTTTTTGTACACGTTTGCTTGCTTGTTGTCTCCCCCATTAAACTGTGTGAGCCACGGGCAAGACTGTCTTTTGCCTCTTTTGGTAACCCCAGTGCTTAACATAGTGCACGGGGACTGAATGGTAACCACATTTTTTTTGTTTGGTTACAGTTTTCAGAGAGTCTAATGATTCTTAAAATGCTCTCTCCTTGATCTATCTGTCAATTATTTTTAATAGCAGATGGCTTACATTTTCTTCTAATTCTTCAGTGTTATGATTTTACAGTAAAAGTTCTTGTAGTCTTAAGGTCTATTCACGCTTTTCTATTTCTTCTCAAGGAGTCCATTTACTTCATTAAAGTTTTCTACCTCCTATTTTAAGCTCTTTATTCTTCCAATTTTTTTCTCAAGAGCTCTAATTTAATTTTTAGCTCATTAAAAAATTTTGACAAACATATCTATATAAAAAGAACAGAAAAGGGGAATTGCATATGAAACTGAATTTCTATTACACATCACTTTTAAAGAATATAACAAATTCAGAACATTAGTTCCAAAGATGTCCTGCTTGTCTATGTCTCCCTCAGAACTCCATTCTATTCTCTTTTGTACATTTTGTAAATATTCCATTTATGCTATTTGCTTTCTTTTATCGTTTTAATTATTGGGGTTAATATCGCTAAACTGCTATCTTTCACGTAAAAGTATGGTCAAGCCAAATAAACTCACATAGTGATCCTGTGTAAAAATCTATTTCTCATTCTGTACCTCCAGTCTATCATCTCTTTGGCAAGAGGTGAAAAGCACATACTTCATTAATGATTCCTGCAAGTCATGGTTGGTCAATGAACTGATCAGAACTCTTAAATCTGCAAAGTTCTTTTTCTTTCCATTGTATAAATTGTTCTCCTGGTTCTGCTCATTTCACTCTTCATCAGTTCATACAAATCTTCCCAGGTTTTTATAAACTTATCCCTTTTCATCATTTCTTACAGTGCAACAATATTCCGTTTCACACGCACATACCAGAATTTGTTCAGTCACTTGCCAATTGACGGGGTATAGCAGAAAGCATTACTTCAAATATTTTTATACAGATGGGTCTTTTCCCTCTTTCTATGGTTTTCTGGAGGTATATATCTAGTAATAATATTAACAGGTCAAAAGTTCAGTGACTTTTTGGATACAGTTACAACTTACTTTCTAAAATCTGCATGACCAAGTTAACATCTCCAAGAGAACATTAGTATGCTTGTCCTCTAAGAGTCCCTCCAACAATCATTATTATTATTATTATTTTTATCTTTGCTAATCTGATGGTTTGAGGTAGAACTTCAGAGTTTTAAACTGCATCTTCTATTTCCTCTTCTAAGAACTGCTTGTTCATATCCTTTGATCTATTAGGGAATGGCTCTTATTCTTATGTATTTGAATAAATGCCTTATATATCTTAGTTATCAGACTTCTTGTGAGAGAAATTTGCTGTATTTGTTTTTTTAATCAATAAGCTAGCATTATTTAACTCTTTAAGATCTGAAAAGAGCTTTACAAGTATTATCTCATTTGATCCTTATATTAACTCGGGGAGATTTTTACTTTTTTATTACTCTTATCTTACAGATGAGAAAACTGAGGCAGGAAGAAATTAAATTATTTGCCCCAGGTCACACAGCTACTATGTGTTTGAGGCAAAAGGTCCAGTGCTACCTCAACCATCATAGAGTGGACAATGGGTAGTCTTCATACATTATTTCAAATATGAGTTATTTCAATCTTCTATTTCTTGTTCTGTTAATTTGATGTTTTGGGGTTTTTTAGTAAATACTCATCGATTTTCTTTAAGTTATTGGTCATGCAGGGTTTAATTGGGCAAAAAAGTTTCTAATAATTTCCTTTATTTTCTTTTCCCTTGTAAATTTTACTCTTTCATTTTTTTATATGGGCAATTTGGTTTTCCTGTTCCTTTTTATTGTTAAAAATCTGATTAACAGTATATCTATTTTATAAGCTTTTTAAAAAGCTTCTAGTCTTATTTACCATCTCATTGTTTTGGTTTTTTGGCTTCCAATTTTGTCAATTTCTTCTTTCATTTTCATAATTTCTATTCTTGTGCTTGATTGGGATTTTAATTTTTTTTTACAGTTTTTAAAAAATTGCACACCTAATTCATTATTTGTTCTTTCTTTTGTTGATTAAAGTATTCAATGTTTTAAGTATCTCCATAAATATTGCTTTTGACTGAATGCTAATTTTAGAATGTTGTCTTCTTGCAATTTTGTTTATGAAATTATCTAATATTCCTGTGATTTATTCTTTGATCCACAAAGTCTTAAGGATTAAGTTAGTCTCAACTTCAATACAAATCCTTTCTTCAATGCTCCATATTGATTATAATTTTTACTATATTGTCAATACTTTATTTAATTTTTCTGAATTTGTTTATGTATTTTTGTATTCTAAGATATGGCTAAGAAATTTTTTATATATATATATATATATGTATATATGTATATTTCCATTTAAAAAATCACCAGGAATCTAGCATATCCAACTTTTTTTTTTTTTTGGTGAGGCAATTCGGGTTAAGTGACTTGCCCAGAGTCACACTGCTAGTGAGTGTTATGTGTCTGAGGCCAGATTTGAACTCAGGTCCTCCTGACTCCAGGCTGGTGCTCTATCCACTGTGCCACTTAGCTGCCCCCATATCTAACATTATTAAAATTATATTCATGTCCTTAGCTTCTTTCTCATTTATCTTTTTATTGCTTTTGTCTAGATATCAAACAGCATCACTGAGGTTCCCAAACTATTGTTATTTTGCTATTTCTCTCTCTGATTTGATTAACTTTTCATTTAATTACTCAAATGTTAAGGCAATTATATATATACATATAGTAATTACTGATGTTATTCCATTATCTGTAGTACGTTTCAGCGTAATTTTCTTTCTTGCAAACAACATGCAGTTGGATTGTGCTTTCTAATCCATTTTGCTACCTTCTTCCATTTAATGGGCAAGTTCATTCCATTCAATTTCACAGTTATGATAGTTAATCTGCTATCCATCAGATCCCCTAATATTTTTATCTCTTCTTATCCCATCCCCAATTCTTTAACAAAGCAGAGTGAATGTGATCCACTAATAATCTATAACTGATGGGACTTGCTCCCATTTCATTCTCTCTCCTCTCTTTATTTTCCCAAACCCTCACTGTTTCTTATGCTTTCTTTTTTCCTTTTAATCTCCCATTTATCATTCCACTCTCCAAAGCTGAAGCTTGTTGTTTTGTCTACTCCCTTCAAATCTGCTCTTTCTCTTAAATCTCTCTTTTTCTCTCCCTGTCCCCACCTATTTCCCAAATGAGTTTAATGTATTTCTCTATCAAATTCTTATGTGTATATCTGACACTCTTATCTGGTTTTAAGAGTAAAGTTTGTGAGATGTCTCCTCCCTCCACTGCGTACTCGAAGTTTGTATATGCTTCTCACATAGCTCAATTATGATATTATATTGAGGTTTCCTCCTCATTTCTTCCCTAGTATATTCTTTTCCTTTCCCTTTTCTATACTGTCTTAAAATTATCCAAACAGAAAAAAACCAATTCCAGGCCAACTTGGGTTTTTCTTTCTGAACTCTCAGTGGGGCTCTGAAGGGACGCTTCTCTCTTTTCTCCCCATTAGAATGTAAGCCGTGCATTAATATTTGGTCCCTTACAATTGTTCAAATCTGTTTTTTACCTTTCCAGGTTTTTCTTTGCTCTCATGTTTGTGCTTCAAAGTTTTGTACAGCTCTAACTATTTCGTTAGGAATATTTCAGAGTCTTTGTTAAAGGTTTATCCTGATTATGCTCAGCTTTCCAGGGTAAATTGTTATTGTTTGTAAATTTTGGCTTTTTACCTTTTAGAATATCATATTATAAGAACTTCCCCTACTTTAGAATAGTAGCAGTATATTGTTGTGTGATTTTGACTATAATTGCTTGTTATGTGAACTTTCTGCTGCTTTACAATATCTTTTTCTGTGACCTGGAAGCTCTGGATTTTGGCTATGACATTCCTACATGCTTTCAATTTGAGGTTTTTTCTAAGATGTGTATTGATTCTTAATATTTTCCATATAACCCTATGGTTAAACCTATGTAAAGAGACATAAGAAGTTTTCCTTTATGTTTTTTAAAACATAGTACCCAAGACTTTTGATTGGATATGATTTAAAGGCAATCTAATTATTCTTAAATAATTTCTCTTTAACCTATTTTCTAGGTACCTTGTGCTTCATAGATACCTTACATACAGCCCCTTGGAATCACTGAGTCTGCTCCACTCTATTTTTCAGCAGGAAGTCAGATAACTGGACATATTTTTCATGTTTTCCTCTAAGCTATTATTCCAATTTTTGCCTCCAGATTGCATTTCATTTATTTTTGTTTCATTCTTTTAATTATTCTAGTACTCCTTAGAGCCATGCCAATTTTTTTTCCCCTCGAAGGATCTGCTTATAGTTATTACAAAGCTATTCTCTTCTTTTGAGTTCAGTAATTCTTGGGCATCTCTTAATCCATAATATATTTTTCATCGTGGTCATTGTTTTCATGCACTTACTCATATCTTAGCTACTTATTTGGGATTCGACTTCAAGGTAAAGCCCTAACATATCTTCTACTCTTGAATGGGGTGATCAGTCCCTATTTTGTCCTGTCCTTGATTTTTGGGGTTCATGACAATAGAATCTACTTCCCCCGTCTTCCTGTGCAGTGACTGATAGGGACTAGTTTTATGCCTCATTGTGCCAGTTTTGACAATATTTCTTATCTAACATTTAAAAAATCAATTCAGCAGCTTCTTGAATTTATTTATTTTTATGCTTTCACATTTAATTTTTAAATTAATATTTCATGCTTTCACACTGTGCACCAAGGTGGCACAGTGGATAAAGCATAGGGCTTGGAGTCAAGAAGAAATGACTGGAATCTTCCTCAGATACTGTCCGGCTGTGTAGCACTTACCTTCTCTGTGCCTGAATCTATTAAATGGGAATAATAATAGTGCTCACCTTTCAGTGCTGCAAGGATCGAAAGAGTTAATGCATGTGAAGCATTTTGCAAACCTAAAAGCCTTCTATAAACACTAACTGTGATTCATTTGGCCAAATCTGGCATTCTAGGCTCTTTTCAGCCACCAACTTTCCATCACGTGTATCTATAACTGTTTTTCTATAAAAAGTATAGAAGCAGAGACCCTGTCTCTGTGAGTGGCCTCACTATTATGTACAGTGTAAAAGTCTGTTTCCAAGAACCCTCTGAATTTGACTTTTCTTCAATCTGTGTTTTCATCCTGAAAGAAAGAACATAATGCCATTCTATACAGAAATGGGGACTTGTGATGTCTACTGCAGTGAAAAATGAAGCGATTTACCTTAAATTATTTGTGTGACAGTCACACAGTTAATGTGGGCCAGAGGCAAGACTTGAATTCAAATCTTCCTCTTCTATGTGTCTTAGAAGTATCCTCTGAAAAAATGAGGATAATGGAATCCTTGCAAGAAAAAAGAGTATATCCAAAGCTAATATTAATAAAGCATAATGCACTTCAAACAACAGGCATGTTCATATGTTCAACAACTGGCCTATGTTTAACCTTAAGGCTTTGGGGTTTAAGATATACATAGGACTACCTTAACTCCGTGGTCTATCCCTTCCAAAAATTGGACTAGCCCAGCCTAAAATCAAATTATACTATTTGATGAACAGTAATTACAATTTACATACAAAAAAACTCCTAAATCCAACTTCGACGAAGTAATTAAATTAACTAGAAGGTACTCAAAGAAGATGTTTTCTATGTCATGTTTCTAATAGTTCCTATTTATTTTGGTTATAAGAAATTCAGAGAGGATAATGAAGCATTCAGAAACTGCTTACCTACTTATTTTCTTCAGAATATGCTGGAGAACATTAAATGCATTTGGAGTGCTATGAGGAACAAATACAAACAAAAGTTCACAATGCTAATCCTTACAAATGCAAAACAAGTCAACTGTTTGCACTAACTAAAAAAGAACAATAGTATTGACAATCCAAAATAGTAAATTAAAAAATTATCTCTGACTTAGATTAGGAATAGACAATGACTCCTAGCTTATAAACTCTCTGAGAGCAGGAATTATGTCTTATTTGTCTTTGTATCTGCCACATCTATCATAGTACATTGACTATGGTACACTGAACTCTTAACAACCATTTGCTGGATGAACAATCCTGTTTTTGTAGATTTATCTATGTTTGGTTCAGTGTGAGCTCAGGGTAAAATGTGGGGGAAATCATTTTATTACATTTTGTGAAAACCATTCTCATATTCAAATTGTATTTTAAAATCTCCAGAAAACAACTTGATCCACTTAAGAAGCATTATTGATTGGAGAACTTTAGTAGAACCAGTCTGGGAGCAAAATTACTCAAAAAATTACTCCTTGTAAATTAAACCTTGAAAAAGCGTGAAAAGGAATTAAAATTGAGAGTAAATTAGCTGTTTCTGGAGGAAGGAAGCGTTTTCCAGAGAAGCAGACTCCTGAATGAAAACAAAATAGTCAAGAAAAAAAACAAATTTAATCTGTGATATCGTATCATTTGGGCCTTTTTTTATCATGAAGGAAAAGAATGTGGAGAAGTTTTTGTTTGAAAAGAAAGAAAATTGACTCTAGGTCTTATCATGAGAGCTGAGGAGACAAAATGATGTTTTTAGTAGGAGGCTGCAACAAATCTAGAAGCTGGAGCTTTGGGGAAACTTTTTAAAAAATATTTGTTTAGTATTTTATTTTCCTCTGGCTACATGTAAAAACAATTTTTAACATTCATTTTTAAAATTCTTGAGTTCATGGGGCAGCTAGGTGGCGCAGTGGATAGAGTGCTGGCCCTGGAGTCAGGAGGACCTGAGTTCAAATTCAGCCTTAGACACATGATGTTTACTAGGTATGTGACCCTGGGCAAGTCACTTAACTCCACGGCCCAGCCAAAAAAAAAAGATTGGGTGAAGTAAAACTCTCGAGTTCCAAATTCTCTCCCTTTCTCCCACCAATTGAACACTCATTGAGAAGGCAAACAATTCCATAATTCGAAACAGGTTATACATGTGTAGTCATGCAAAACATTTCCATAATAGTCATGTTGTAAAAGACCAAAAAAAAAAAAGAAAAGAAAACCTCAAGAAAAATAAAGTAAAAAAAAAAAAGTATGCTTCTGTCTGTATTCAGAACCATCAGTTCTTTCTCTGGGGATGGACAGCATTTTTCATCAAAAATCCTTCTGAGTTGTCTTGGATCATCGTATTACTGAGAATAGCTAAGCCACTCACATCTGATCATCCTACAATATTGCTGTTACTTTGTACACAGTACATTTCACTTTGCCTCAGCTCATGTGGGAAGTCTTTTTTATTCTCAGAAAATGCTGTCAAGACAAGGTCCAAGAAATACAGGATTAAGTTGAGTAGTGACTGGCAACAGTTTAAATTTAGGAGGTAAGATATTTAGCCTTGCATTTTTCTAAATCTTAATCTATATTGGTTCTCTCTGTTGTATATTTCTCACAAGAGTAAATGAATAGTATACTTATTGCTATTTTAATAGTGAAATTTTTATTGAAAAAGCAGTTAAACAGATTTTATTCTTCCCCCTTTTCTGTGTTAGCCATGCCTGCGAGCATCACTTCTTGGTTTACCTGCTGACAGTTAAAGGAAGTTCTGGTTCCCAAGAGAAAATAATCAGCCTTTATAAGGTTTGCTGTGCAAATTTAAACTCAGCAAGAGATGTAAAATACCCTAACATACAGATTGATTTTAATCCCAGCTAAGGTCAAACATACTTACAAATGAATTAAAATGAATTTATGAGCTCATACCAACTGACAGCAAAAGAAAACTCAAAAAAAAAAAGCGTAATTCAGAATTAAAATAAAATAGAATTTAATAAAGGAGTGATTAAATAAGGGGGGAAAACCCCAAACTGCATAGTACAAGAAGTCTTATGGAAATTAAAACTTTAATGTGGATAAATCACAAAAGAAAAAAAAAAGAGATTGGGCTCTAATTGGAACTTTAATATAAACTTTGAGGGTCAACCAGGTGGCTCAGTGGATAGAGCACCAGGCCTGGAGTCAGGAAGACTCATTATCCTGAGTTTAAATCTGGTCTCAGACATTTACTAGCTGGGTGACCCTGAGCAAGTCACTTAACCCTGTCTGCCTCAGTTTCCTCATATGTAAAATGAGCTGGCCAAGGAAATGCCAAACTACTCCACTATCTTTGCCAAGAAAACCTCAAGTGGGGTCATGAAGAGTCAGATACAACTGAAACAAATGAACAATAACAAATAACCTCTTGAAAAAAAGGTTATACTGTGCCCAATCTGTGTGACTCTGAGAGACTGACAGTCCTATAAGCAACCTTGAACTTTTTCCTGTGGTCATCTGACTTTACTTCCTCTGGTCCATTTTGCTAGTGGTGTGGGCCACATCAGACTCCTCTGTATGACCTCAAAGACATATTTACAAAGTCTTGTCAGTCCCTGGAATAGCAGGGCTAGCTGCTCTGGACATTTTATTCGTGATTTGGAATGAGTACAAAGGCAAGTCATTGTCTTATCAATTTATTCTTCACCTACCACAATAAAATAAGTTGCCTTACTTGAGTGTTGCAAACTTCTCTTTGAGTCCATTCATGGGAATTTCTTCAAGCATAAAAAGCTTTGATGTAAATGCATCAACATGTCCTGAAAATAGGTCAAACTTATTTTTAAAATTAATTTATTTTTAATTTTCAACATTCACTTCCATAAGCTTTTGAGTTTTAAATTTTCTCCTCCTCCCTTGCTGTCTCCCTCCCTAAGATGGCGTGCAATCTGATACAGACTCTACATATACATTCCTATTAAACATATTTTCACATTAATCATGTGGTCAAACTTAATTTTTAACCTGTCATAAAATAAAAAAGAAGAACCTAAATAATCCCCCAAACTATTTAGTTTTTAAACCCTTTAAAATGGTTAAACATTAACCAAAGTACTTTAAGTTCTCCTTAAAACATCCTATATACTACAACTTCACATTAAATTTAGAGTTGTTTTTAAAATGACTTAATCAAGTTACTATTAAAAGTTTTTTCAGTTGAAAATATTTCCACTATTGAAGCAAATTGACATCAAGCTTACAATTTGTAAATGTCTTTATTTTTTCAATCTCAAAAGTTCTATGATTTTAGTGATATACACAGCATCTCATTGATATTCATTACAACAGTGCCAAACTCAAATAGAAACAGATCTCAGCAGGCCACATATTGACAGAAAACTACAAATTAACACCATCTATGTTGTATTATATTTTCATTTATTTTGTTAATCATTTCCCAATTACATTTTAACCTGGTTCTGGCTGATCTCTGATGTTTGACATGTGCAGTGAGTTTGATACCTCCGCACTACAACATGTCCACACCTTAGCTGACAATTTCTTCAATGATTATGAGCAAAAACAGTCATCATTAATTATTTTGGTAGCTAATTGTTGAGTGACTCTCTAAACTTAACTAGGCTTCTCCTTTGACAACAATCTGTTGCTAGGCCTATACTTAAAGCCTTTTCAGCTTAAAAGGATCTGCCAGTACTCATGCTACATTGGCCTGGCCTTTAAAAGCCCACCGTCACCTCTATTCCACAATGAGGCACTGGACTAGGACTTTAGTGAAAATGTCCAGTGTAATATCAAATTAAACAAACGCATTGTGTTTACCTCCAAAAAAACACATTTGTATGATTTAATTTTGGTTGTCAAAATATGACTAGATAAGAGCTACTTCATTGCACAGTTAAATGCATTACTACTACAATGGCTAAAATTCACCACAAGACTCCAAATAGCTAGCTTCTAATTTAAAATAAAAAGACTAATTAATGTAGAACTATACTTCAATATACCAAAGATCCATGACTTTATCTATATGGGCTTCCAAGACTTGGTTATCAAAATGAAGCACCTAACAAACAAACTTAAAATAAATTAAGGTATCCTAAATTGAAGAGGCATTGTCAAAGAGCAATTGTTATGAAAAAAGTCTGGAGGTTTTAGTGGATTACAACATCAATGAATCATTAGTGTGATATAGCAAACAAAAAAAGTTAATGCAATCTTGGGGCTACATTGAGAGGCAAAGTGTATTACAGTAATAAGGAGGTAATAATCCCACTGTACTCTACCCTGGTAAAATCTCATCTACAGAATTGTGTTCAGTTGTGGGCACCAGAGTTTAAGAAGGGCATTGATAAGGCACAGGGTATCCAGCAGAGGATGGTAAAAGGTCTTGAGTCCATGTCATATTAGGATCAGTTGCAGAAACGGGGGATGCTTAGCCTAGAGAAGAGAATACTAGCTATCTTCAAGTGTCTAAAGGGCTGGTGGGTAATTTATTTGCACCCTCATTCCACAGAAAATCAGGGCTGGGACCCACAGGGGCTGATTGGCTGATATTTTGGGGTTAGAGTCACACAGAGTCTTTGGGAATCCAAGAGGGTAAATGCTTGCTGTTCATAACAGTACTCATGGACTTCTTCAGAAGACAAGGAGCAAAGAAGCAACAGAACCTACCAAGTTAGCCTGTAACTAAATTAAAAAATAACATCTCTATAGTGCTTGAAGGTTTGCAAAGCACTTTAAATATATCTCATTTGATCCTCGTAATAATTTTGTGAAGTAGGTCAGCACCTAATATCCCTATTTCATAGACGATGAAAAAGAGGGTGAAGGTGGTTAGGCAACTTATCCAGGATTACATTAACTATTACATATTTGAGACTGATTCATTTAAACTCAAGTCTTTCTGACTCCAAATCCAGAGCTCTATCTACTACCTCATGTCACTACCTCTATATATAGAGGGTTAAGAAAACAAGGAAATGGTTGGCACTGAATAATAACTTTACTTCTTGCTGTTCCTCAAAAGGGACCCTCTGTCTCCCAACTTTAAGCATTTTCACTGGCTATTCGCCATGCCTGGAATATTCTCTCTCCTCATCTCTGTTTCCTGGCTTTCTCTAGGTCCCAGCCAAAATGCCACCTTCTACAAGAACCCTTTCCCATTTCCCCTTAATGCTAGTGCCTTTCCTCTAAGATTATCTCCAATTTATCCTCTATATGTATTTTGCTTGTATGCAATTGTTCGCAAACATGAGCTTTTTGATAAGACTGATTTTGCCTTTCTTTGTATCCCCAGAATTTAGCACAATACCTGGCAAATACTAGGTGCTTAATAATGCTTACTGATTGACTGACTGATAACAGTGGTGGAAAAAGTTTGAATAGGTCTAAAAACAAGGGAAGCTTGATGCTAAGCATTCTGAGCTATGATAGCTCTGGTTCCATAATCCAGGCTCAAATATAAAGTACTCTCACCTTTAAAGTTCTATAACATGGATCCTCTCTACCTTTCCAAATTTACACTTTACTCCCTGCCCCCCAATATACCCTACAATCCAGCTCTCATGGTCTACTTGATACTCTGCACAAAGCAATCTATCTCCCATTTCCATGCCTTTACAGTGGCTTTCTGTTACGCCTTAAATGCTCACTGCCACCTCTTAGTTTCACAGGCTTCTTTCAAGACTTGTATTATATCCCACCTTCAAAAGGAGGCCTTTCCCAATCCTTAGCTCCAAGTGCCTTCCCCTCTAAGATTCCATTTACTCTGCATATATCTTGTAAGCATCTACTTATTTACCATCAGAACATGAACTCCTTAAGGGCAAGGGCTGTTTTGTCTTTTTCTGAATCCCCAGACCTTAGTATAGCTTTTGGTACATAGTGAGCATTTAATAGGTATTTGCTGTCTAACTGAATTTCTTCCAAGAGTGAAATAAGCCTCCAGGTGGGATGAATTACCACAAGCAAACAGGATGGTAAAAAATGCTTCAAAAGTTCCATAACTAAACTTTTTTTTTAAACAGTATTTTATTTTTCCCAAAAACATGTTAAGACAAATTTTAACATTCTTTTTTTTTTTTAATAAAATTTTGAGTTCCAAATTTTTCTCCCTGTTTCCCTTCTCTCCCTCCTCCCTATGACAGTAAACAATTTGATAGAGGTTATATATGTGAAATCATGTAAAACATACTTCCATATCAGTTATGTTGTGGAAAAAAAAAAGTTTGTACCTATTAAACTTCTACTAGCAGCAATAAAAAAGTAGTGATAGCAATACACACTTATCTTGTACTTTATGGTTAACAAAGCACTAAGTATAGGAGAAATGCAGTAAAATGTAGGTGGATTCCTAGCCATTTCCTGAGAAGAAAGAAAGTAATTAAACTTAATAATTATACATATATATATAATATATATCAATAAAATCTTGATAAACTAAATAGATATTTCAATCACATTTTCCAGTTAAACAGGAATCCTTTTTCTGTTTCATGCATTTTTACTGAAAATCTCTGCAAAACATAATATCTCTTTGCCTGCCTAACAACAACACAGTGACAGCAAGAAAATCTTCCTTCGATGGGAATAAGTACAATCAGAAGTAATTTTTAAAACCTAAGAACAAGAATAGGTAATAAAAAAAATCTCTGTATGCTAATGAGGCAAAAACCAAAAGGAACATGAATCACACTTACCAACATAAAACAAGCAGTTAGAATGCAATAAACTCTCAGTCCACAAGCGACAAAGTTCACTTTCAGTAAGGGCTTCAACACCGTAGCAGGCTTGATACTCCAATTTTGGCAATATGTAAACTGGAGATTGCTAAAAACACAAAATTAAAATGCTGAAATCTGCTTTAATTTATTATTAACTACAATAAACACCTTATATACTTGCATAAGTGTCATACTTTTCAAAGCACTTCCATATAAATACATTTTATCCTCACAACCCTATAAGGCAGATTAGGTATTAATAGGGAAGATGGTTCTATGTAGATCTATTAGATGGGGCCTTGGGGAGGATGAAGCAGAGGGAACACTAAGAAGCAGACTGTTTTGCTTGGTGGTCTCATCAGCTGACATGGAATCAAATACCATCTCTAAGTAGATTATTCTCAGATATCTTCATCCAGCCCTAACCTATCTCCTGACTTCTAGTCTCACATTCCAACCGTCTATTGGACATTTCAAACTGGATGTTCCAGACTCTTAAATTCAACATATCTAAAACTGAACTACTTATTTCCAGTCCTCCCTCCACCCCCGTCTCTCCTCTCTTCCTAACTTCCCTATTACAAACAAGGTTATTATCACTATCATCCCAGTCACCAAGTTTCACAACCCAGATGTCATCTTTGACCCCTCATTCTCATCACCAATATTCAATCTTAGACCAACTCCTCTCAATTCTACCTTTGTAAAACCTCTTGTATATGCCAACTTTTTTTCCTCTAGCCCTGCTACCCACTCTGATATAGGTCCTCAACACCTCAGTCCTATACTATTCCACAGCTTGCTGAACAGTCTTCTGCCTTGAGTCTTTCCCCCCTCCAATCCACCCTCTACTCAGCTGTGAAAGTGATTTTCCTTCAGAACAGGTCTCTCTCCATGTTTCTGTCACACACATGGACACAATGAACTCTAGTGGCTCCTTACTGTCTCCAGGATAAAATATAAAATCTCATATTTGGTTTTTAATGCCCTTCAAACCAGACCCACTCCTATCCTTGCATTCTTCTTATACCTTACCTTCCTCCTTTACCCCTACTCCAAATACTCTGCAGTTTGGCCTCCTGGCTATTCCTGAACACATAATCCTCCATCTTCTATCTTTAAACATTTTTGCTGGCTGCCCCTAAGCCTAGAATGATCTCCCTCATCTCCAACTCCTGGTTGCCTTCATGTCCCAACTAAAATCCTGCCTCCTACAAGAAGTCTTTCCTGATCTCTCTTAATGCTAATGCCTTCCCTTTAAGATTATCTCCAATTTATCCTTTATACTTATCTTGGTTGAACAGAGTTGTTTGCATGTTGCTGGCCCTATTAGATTGTAAACTCCTTGGGGACAGGGACTGTTTTTGCCTTTCTTTGTAACCACAGCATATAGCAGAGTGCTTGGCACATACGTGACAAATGCTCAATGGCTTGACTCTGAAGTGGAAGGAAAGATTAGACTTATTCTGCTTGGCCCAAGAGGACAGAACTAGGGATCTTGGATAGCAGTTGCAAACAGGCAGATATCAGCATAATGTGAACCAAAGCTTCTAAAACTTAGGCTGTCTAGAAGTGGAATGGATTGTTTCAGGAAGTAAAGTGTTCTCCATGACCAAAAGTCTTCAGGTTGAATGGGGACACCACTTGTCAAGTTGTAATGGAGGGGGTATTTCTACAGGTCTGGGTTGGACAAGATGACATCTGAGAGCCTTCTGTCATAAAATTTCAAGACATAAAGTAACCTGCCCAAGGTCATAAATGATAGAGTCAGGCTAGAAACTATATAAAAAACTCTACTGACCAGAATATTGAATTCCTTAACAATGCCAGATAAAAGAAAATTAAATAACAAGAAAAATATAAAAAAAACCTAATTCAAATAAATGTAATAATTTTACAATGATATCACTTTTATGGGTTTGTGATTTGGAGGAAGAAGGGGTCACTATCAATATCTGCACAGGATATTACAACCTATTTCTATGACCTCTACTGCCATCTCCAGGAATTTAGGAGAAAAGAAAACAAATTATACCACTTAAGATATTCAGAAGAATTACTTTATGACAACATCTTAAATATTTTAAATATAGCCACAGATGATGACATTTGTTTTTTTCTTAGACATAACCTCTGGCTCTTATTTTCCTAAATAATAACTTTAATTGGATTTCTCTCCTTCTCCTCTATTTTCTCTCATCAGCCACAAATTAAATTCTCATTAGAGGTTTCATATCTTATACCCTCTTAGGATCCTACTAGATACATTTTTCCTTCAAAATTACCCTAATACTTGACCTTTTCTATTCTGTTTCTGCAATTCCATATATATTTGAAATAATCAGTCTTGGGAACTTCATATTTTAGAATGAAGCCTTCATGAAACTAGGTTCATTTAAGCAAACACCGATAAAACTAGAACACTTAAGATCACTTCATCTGAATTTCATAAATAGAAATTGTACTAAGTTTTACTCAGAAATTTGAGCATTTAACAAATAACTATGTTCCAAACTTCAACATGTAAACCAAGTTAAGTCTTTTCTACTTCATTCCAACATTTGCAAGTGGTTGTTCTCTTAATTCGACCTCTGACTACATCTGGAAGGTAACAGATGAAAATGAAGCTGCACTGAGGTCTGAGTACTAGTTACAAGTGGAAAGTATGGAAGAAATAACAGTAAAATCAGAGAGGCAAATTAGACAGACTTCAAGTTCTTGGGTGCCAGTAGCCAAGAATCTTCATAATCTAAAGTCTTGACTAAATAAGTTTACTTTTAGGGAATAAATGTTCTTTGTTTAAAGGACATTATTAGAATGTAAGTAAATACTGGCTTTTAAATAGCTCAGACTAATAAAGTTTCTAATATTTGTAAATATCCTAAGAATGACTTCTCTGTTAAGTTTTAATAAGCTGGTTCTTACTTGCTTCTATGTTAGTATTATACCATTTTTTTTAAACTGGAGAAAGGTGTGCTCGAATTCTTTACTCAATGTATAGTAACTTTCTTACCAATTTTTTTTTCTTTCTAGATTGAAGTCATTAATCAAAAAAAAACTGGAAAATTATTTAAAGAGATGCTGGGCAGCAATCATTTCTATGTGCCAGTAATTTGGCATACAATACAACAAATGAATAGGGGCTCACATGCCAGAAAATGAAAGAAATGAGGTTGACCTTGAAAGAAATCATATGTGACAAGAAAAATTTAAACCAAACAAAAAAATCAAACTCTAAAAATTAAATTCATGGCACAAGTACTTTGTCTAAAATTATTTTTGCTATGTTACAAAATTTATCATTTTTGTGTATAGAAATGGTTTAAAAAATGTAATGAGTAGGCCTAAATAATTCTTAATGCAGACTTATATCAGTTCCTTTAAACTATATCAAACCAGTGACATTATCATTCTTTGACTTTCTCCTGCAAAAAGCCATAAGTGAAATCTAAATTCAGTTCAAAACCTTTCTGAAAAATAATATTTTCTAAAATTTTGAAATAGATAAAAGAAACTATCAGAATTGGATATTTAGCAATTTGTTCACATTTTCTCTCCTTCGAGAGTAAGGAAGGAAATTAAGAGATGTGAAAAACACCTGAACTCAATCATTAACATCAAGAGAGCAATTTATATAAATCTAAATTAGGGCAAGCATATCTGGTAATCTTGTGAGACAAAGTCCAGTCATTAAACTGCTGTCGCAAGCACCTGGTACACCTTGGGTCTTATTTTCAGGATGTGAAAAGAATAATTATTAAGAGATTAAGTATTAAAACAGAGTAACATAGCAAATGTTAAGAGACCCTGTGTGACTATGCTGAACAAGACAAGTTAGTGGCAGAGATGAAGCCAGAACTCATGTGACAAACTAAGTTGACCAAAACATCCAGTTACCAATCACACACATAACTATGGCTGAAAACAAGTTTACTGTATGTAGAAAAAGAGATAACATTTAATTCAATATAACTCCAATAATTCCGGAATGATAGGATACTTTCACAGGTTTGGAGAAGTCATTTATGTGCATGAGCTGGCCCTAAATTTAAGAACAGAAGGAAAGATCAAGAACTTTATATGCAACAATAGGAGCTCTAAACTCACCAAAGTAGTTTTCTGTCCATTTAAATTACTTACAGTGATGTAATAGAGTAAGTTTTATCCAAGTACTCCATAAGCTTTAAAAATTTCAGTCGTTCTTATTTAAACAATATCTTATTAAGAATAAGGTGATTTAAATAATACATCGAAAAATATCTCACCCTAGAAAAGTTACTATATAAGCCTTTACTTTGTCTGGACCTGTGATTTCCTTGGTGTGATAGGGAACCAGTAAAGAAATTCTATATGAATGCAGTTTGCCAACTGCTCTGCAACTTAAGGGTTTTAGAGAGTTTTAAAATAATTTAAACTTAAAAAAAAAGCATCATATGTGTTTGCTGGTTAGTTTATATACTAGTACTGTAGTTTTGGAGATGAAAAGACCTTAAAAGTCCATACAATCCAATGCCATATTTTACAAATGAGGAAATTTAGACCATCCAAGAAGGTTAAGTAACTTACTCAAGATCACAAACATAAGCAAGAGACAGAGGAAAATTTTGAAGCCAAGACCTCGGACTGCAAACTGGGTGCTCTTTATATTATACCATTCTGACTCTCACTCAAGTCTTCAATTTTCTCCAATAGTTACTTACCCTTCTAACATTTTTCCGTTTTTTGGAACGTGGTCTTGTCTCTACTTTCTGGACACCACAACGTACAAGTAATAGGAGATCTTGGAAGTTGAATAACTTATAAACAAGATTTCCTTCTTGAGGTGCTAAGTATTCTGATTTGTTTTCAACAAACATCTGAAGGTTGTGTGGTAGCAATCCTTAGAAGTAACACATTTGATCAATTAGACTATGTATGTACTATTTATGTATTATTACATTTTTACAATATTACAATTCATACATTTTCATCAATATAAATCACAAGATGATATAATGAATTCAATTATCTACAGGATTACCTATAGAATATTTTCTTTTCACCTTTGTGTGGCCATTTTCTGTTACAAATTCTACCACTATTTCTGCTTCTTTTGAGGGGAGATTCTTTGTCCCAAAAGGAGCTGGAATAGAAGGTTCAAAGCTATAGGAAAAAGCACACTGGCTCTGGATTCAGAGGACTTCAGTTCAAATGCTGCCTCTCATGATTACCACCTACTGACCGTAAGCAGCTCATTTAATCATACTGGGCCTCAGTTTCCTCAACTGCAAAATGAAGGGACTGGAAAAGGAGGCCTCTGGGGTCCCTTCTGGCTCTGGATCTATGATCTTTTTGAAATACTACTTCCTTTACTTTCAGAGAAAATGTGACAGACAAAAAAGCAAATTTAGTGAGAGAAAATAAAAAAACTGTGTTTGGCGCGTTCTTAAAAGTGATGTTATTCAATCCTAGTACAGTTAAGAAGTTGGGCAGAAATGAGCAAAAGAAGAAGGAAAGAGGATCTTAACTTTATATGTTCATGATGTGGCTTTGTATATTTTCCTTCCCTTAAGGGATGTGATTTTTCTGGAACATTAGTTATACTCATATTCACACATAATTATGTATAAGGGGTAGTGATACAAAAACTTGGTAACTAAAATTGAAGATTGATTATTTTAATGGCATTATGAAGACAGATGAACAATCAATCAACTGACTAATACATTACTGCATGCCTTAAAATACTGATTCTAGAACAATACAAAAACAACTTTTCTCTTGTATGACTTTTTATAATTGATAAAAATTTTTAACTAAAATACCATAAATATAACTTACTGGGAAAAAAAAAGAAAAAAGTTAGCAACTAAGGATAAGATCTAGCAAAAGAGAAGGAATCAGAAACTAAGTGAGGTAAAGTATGGTATTCATTATTTTTATGAAAAACCAACATTCTTTTTTTTCAATTGTATGACTATTTTAACCAATTTGTGATGGTTTTGTCCATCAAGTGAAAGTACATATTGAACATGATCAACAAAAACAACAAAACAGACACTGTATTTGTCGGCCATTACAACTTTTTTTTTGGTAGAACCCCTTGGACTACTAACATTTTATTTATACAATCTAGAATTTACTTGTTTAAATTAGCCCGTTCATTTTATATAAAGGAAAGTAAGGCTTAGCAGAAGTAGTATTATATTAAATAGCAGAGTATCAAGAAAAGTCACATTTTACATGAAGGCTGTAGAAGAAAGCAAAGAAAATATGTGAGGAAAAGGGGCAAGGAAAACTATCTGCTAAAAATGTCATGTGAAAAAACAATTATAAATGCCTACTTACGTCCTTTTGGCTTCTGAAATACTGAAGACCATTTCGACGCAGGGGTTTCAATAGCAGTGGCTGGTTGCTCTGGAGCAAGGGCTATGGAGTGTTGTTTAGAATTTTCCAAATTCACAAAGGCCTGCTCAGGCACTTTTTTTGAAGTTGGTTTTAAGAGTTCATTTTGCATTTTTAAAATCTGTCCAACTGGATCGAATTTCTTATATAATCTTTTGCCAGACTTTTTTGTAGCACATTTTTTCTGCTGGGGACTACAAGTAGCATCAGCTAAGTTTTCTGAAGAAGTCTGAATAGGTACAGGAGACCTTAAAGTATCTAGTACAGGACTTGCATTAAGGACAGGAATCTCCTGCTTGCTATTATCATGATTTTTACATTCTATGTCAATAATTAAACGTTCTTCATCTGTATCACTATTACAAGAAACATTCTGAGTCTTACTTGCTTCCGACATATCAGTTCTTTCTTTGAAAGTATTTGTTTTCTCCAGGACCTTTAGTTTATCAGCACCATATTCTTCATCAGTAGTTGTATCATTTTCTTCACTTAACTCAATTTTTTCTTTTTCAAAGTCTTTGAATAAGGAGGAATCACATTCAGACTGCTTTAATTCACCACCACATGAATAAAGCTGTGCGTTTTTAGGATCTAGAACACTGTCACATAATGAAAATTCCTGATTATCTTTAATTTTCTGTTCTTCTAGCCCACTGTTTACACTGGTCATCAGTTGTTTCTCCTTTTTCAGCTGCTCCATCAGAATCTTTGATAAACTTATAGGATTAGAGGAAATGGTTGTTGTGCTTGATGCTGTGGGAAGGCTTGCTACGGTAGATGATGTGGGAAGGCTTGATGTTTTCAAAGTTTTTAATGGTTTATTAGATGTTACTCCAAAAGTTTCTAATTCTGTAACATCCTCATCAAAACTCAGATCTAAATCATCAAAAGTCTCAATTCTTCGGGACTGTTTAATATCAGAAGGCACCTTGATAAAACAAAACCATTATCACACTATTAGTAAAAAGTCTGTCATCCTATAGAGTAGGATTTGAGTGAATTTCTTAAGAGTTACTGAAAATGATTAAGCTTCTAAAAGCTAAGATTATTTCATTTTTGTTTCTGGATCCTAAGCACCTCAAACAGTAGTATCTCGCATACATTACTTAATAAAGTAGATAGACCTCTTTTACATTTGTCTAAAACTTACAAAAGTGAAGGAATGTCAGATGTTGATAAATTTGTTTCCTCACCCAAGCATCACTTACATCCCACTGAAATATATTCTCCTCAGGTTTGTCCATAAATACAGCAGAGACAGGAATAGCTGAATTTTTTGTTGTCAAAAGATCCAATGGTACTTCATGAAAAATTTGATTTCTCTCTCTCACTGTCATTTCTTTCTTGGGAAGAGGTGAGTCAATATAAATTACTTTCTCTGGCTTGGAACCTTCTGATGAGAAAAAAAGGCATTTTTATTTGGTAAGAATAAAAAGAGAGGCAACACAGTATATGCAGTACAAAGACTACTGGACTAAGAGTGAGGAAATCTGGGTTTTATTCCCAAGTTATCACTTTTTTGTGTGTGACCTTGGGCAAGTCATTAAAACTTGTCTCATTTTCCTCATTTGTAAAACAAAAGAGTTGGACTAGATAAGCTCCAAGATCTCTTCCCTTCTCTAAAGTTCTCTGATTCTATTGTCAAGAGAAATATATTTTATCTTTTTCATGTACAAGGAATTGGAACAAAAGGCATTTTGGGTTTTCTAATGTGATCTGAATTAAAGATGGTTCTCTCAAATCTAGTCCAATTTTTTAAAAGTTAAATGAAATTTATACCTCAGGGAAAAATTTTCAGGATCTAAACTTATTACAATTTTATTTTCCAATCAACTTCTTTCTTGCTAGATAGTGAATGTCATTAGCCATCAAGAACATTTTGCTTACTCTACAGAATAAAAAATATTTTAACCAGTAAAGAGGGCATTTCATTTCACAAGTTAATGCAGATAGGTTCCGTATCCCAACTCAATGTTAATTGCAGTCTCTCTAGAGGTTGTTTCTATTCTCAGTAATGAGGTGGAAAAAGGTCTAGAAAACTGTAAGATGACTTTGCCATCAGTTCTTCTCCTTGAAAATAGAGGACAACTAGTATTTTTGACTGAGAAAGTTTGTAATGATTTTAAGACAGAATTATATCAACTCAGTTTTAAATAAGGATAGTACCTTATATTTTCAGATAACCACTGAAAAATTAGTGCAGATAAAACATCAATAAATCTAAATTCATAGAACAAACAGTTAAGTGTCCATTATATTCGAGGCACTATATTAAAAGGGTATACAAAAGTAAATAAAGTTTAGTCCAAAACCATAAAATTCATCAGAGCCACATTTATTTGCACAATTTATAAGCTCTCTGAAAGCAGACAACATTGCCCCCTAGACTCTTGACCCCAGCCTATTCTCCGCTTCCCCAGACCCTCTCTAGTTCTGGCTATCCTGCCCCTATCTTTCAGGCATCTTTAATCTCTTCCATTCTACTGGTTCCCTTTAGTCAGTCAATAAATACGCTGCACTCTTGCCTGACTCACAGATCTTTCTCATCTCCAGGCTCACATCCCCCACTGGACGTCCTGTAGCATCTCAAATGGAATGTCCTATAAATGCCTTAAACTCAACATATCCAAAACAGAACTAATTATCTATACCACCCCCATCTGCCCCCCCCCCCCCCAAAAATCAAACCCCCCCCCCCCTCCCCCCCCCCCCCACAAAAGAAAAACCCTCTCCTCTCTTCCTAACTTTGCAATTACTAACAAGGGCACCACCAGTCACCCAGACTAGGAACCTAGGTGTCAATCTAGACTCCTCACTCTCATACTTCCACTCACTTGCCAACTTGCTCATTCTATCATCTTAACATCTCTCATATATGCCACCTTCTTTCCTCTGTCATCACCCTGGAACAATCTCATTGCCTCATACCCGGACTATTGCAAAAGCCTGCTGAATGACTTCTTTTACTCAAATCTCTTCTCAATCCAGTTTATTTTCCACTCAGCTAACAAAATGATCAACTTAAAATGCAGGTTTAACCATGCATGTTGTTTTAAGAAAAAAAAAATCTTCAGCTGTTCCCTATCACTTCCAGGATCAAACATAAAGTCCTTTGTTTGACACTTAAGGATCATAATATGCATTTTCAGATGTGGCTAATGTACTGATTTGTGTTGCTTAACCAATATATTCAAAGGTGGGCTTCAACTTAGTGGGAGTATGAAGGTAGATTACCGGGTAACAGGAGACATAAAAAGCATCAATATTTAAATACAAAGAAAGGAAAAAAAAGTGCAAAAGGGGACACAAACACAGCAATTTTGTTACTACCCTGTCAAACAATATATTTCTATATATTTATGTGTCTTTAAAGAAAAACCAATGCTCAGTTTCTTACACAATACTCTCCCTTGTTCTTTATGTTTTGAAATGTTTATGTTTATTGACAATTGTTAAGTGAACACAAAAAGAATATTTAAGAAGTAAACAAAAAATGAAATGAAAACAAAATGCGTTAAGTATCTGGGAGTCCCTCTACCACAACATACTCAAGATTTATACAAATACAAGTACAAAATATTGTTTAAAGAAATAAAGGAAGATAAATTAAAGTGATGTTCATTGTTCATGGCTGGACCCCACCAGTAAAAAAATGATACTACCCAAATATAACTGATTTACTGCTATACCAAATTTAATGCTATACCAAACTATTATTTTTTTAGAACCAGATAAAATCATAAAATTCATTTGGAAGAACAAAATCTTAAGGGAGATGATGAAAAATGACGGCAATTAAGAGGAAATTAACTCTCTAGATATCAAAATATATCTTAAAGTAGTATCAAAATTGTTTGATACTAGTTTAAAAAGTATTTTTGCACTCTAAGAAAAAAGAAATATGGAGAATTCACAGAAACATGGGAGGATAAATGAAATAATACCAGGTAAAATAAGCAGATTCAGTAAAATACATACATAATTCTAACAACAAAAATGGAAAGAAAGATAAAACACAACTAAACACAGATACAAAATGATACATTTTGTAACTATCTACAGACATTACACATATTCACCGATGCCTTAAACAAGATTTTTATCTTCTTGCTTATAGCATTTGAAAAGAGCCATGAAAATTTTTACAATCATAAAGGATTTTCTCCCTTTCCCTCTTGCAAAATCAGTGTTAGGGAAATCACAAACCTGTAGCAGCAATGATCTTCACACACACTGGAATTTCCCATTGTTCCTTGTAATTAGGTGCATGATTATTCAACAAGGTAAATAATGATCGACTGGTGAGAGCTATCTGAGGATGATACCTCAAGACAAGTTTTTCTGCATTTGGATCTGTACTAATATCCTGAAAATAATAAATATTTCAGTTATTTCTTAGAATAACACATTTCTTTATTAATCAAATATAAATAAAATGCAGAGCAAAGTTTGGGGAAAGGAGTACCAGGACAGCTAACCTAAAAATATCTTAAACCTTTCTGTTGGATGCACAAATAATCATTTGCATTTATTTAATTCACCTTAAAACATCCTAGGACAATCATTTTGTTAAGTGTTACTCACATAATGCATTGCAGCAGCTTTCTGCTCTGGTGTTTCAGTAGTTGATGTAGATTTATAATCTAAGGAGAGGTGCAACTCAGCAGGCATCAAGGGAAATGATAATTTTGCAAACTTTACATTACCCTAAATAACATAAGGAAAAATTAATGTTTTACTAGAAAGACAGTGATACATTTTTTCTTAGTAAATCTTCATTTTTCTCATCATCAAAAAATAAAACTGAACTCTTAACTTCTTCAATACAGCCAAAGTCTGTTAGTAAATATTCATTAAGCAAGGATTCTCTATGAAAAGAAATATAACTGCAAATCAGGAGTACAGACAGTCTTTATATCTCCATCGGATTGATCCTGCTAGTACTTAGGCTAGGATAGCAACTCTTCGGAGGAAAAAGTTACCCTAAGAGTCACTGCAGTACTTACTACCAGAAGCAAACATCAAAGACTACATGTCTCAGTGAGAACAAGGAAAATAATATTTCTAGGATAGAAAACTGGAGGGAGTGGGGAAGAGGGAGAAGCCTCAACAACGTGGCTCAAGCGTCAAGGTTTTACCACCAGGATTCCCTTCATATGAAGGACTGTGGGAACTACTTTGGTAGGGCAAGTCCCCACCTGCCTAATAAATGCCACCAGGTTCTTTACTGGTGGATGGGCTAGGATGCCTATGCCAATATCTCTCTTTGAGAGTAGGAAAGAAGGGATCTACAAGACAACATCATGCCAAAATTATTTCTCTCTTCTACATTCTATCTAGCTTCCTCCTCTATCATGGACAAGTTATATTAGATGGTGCTGGAAAAGATTATAATGGTTTCTCAATGTATATTAAATGCTTATGCTGAATGTTTATCCATTTTAATCAAATCTGCAGGACCTAAAGGCAAAGACAAATGATAAGCTATACTATATTAGCAATAAATATTCGTATAGAGGAAGTGTCATGAAAAATATTAACAAAGACATCAATCATCATTTATTAAGCCCTTACTATATGCCAGGCATTGTGTTATTCACCTAAGGAAGACAAAAAAACAGTCCCTGTTCTCAAGGAATTCACAGGGTACCAGAAGACACAACATGTAAATAACTTTCTACAAATAAGATTTATATGTGTGTGTATGTCTATGTGTATGTATGTGTGTATGTATGTATGTATGTATGTGTGTGTGTGTGTGTGTGTGTGTGTGTAAATATAAAACAGAGTTAACAGAGGTAAGGCACTAGCATTAAAGTGAATTGGGGGGAAGGCTTCTTGCAGAAGGTAGGATTTTAGCTGGGATTTAAAGGAAGCCAGAGAAGCCAGAAAATGAGATCAGAAGGGAGAGAATTGTAGGCATCTGGGATAGACGATGAAAAGGTCCAGTGAAAAACAGACGTATTTCAATATCTGAAGGGGGGAAGAAGGGTAGGACTGCATTTATATAGCACCTACTATTTGCAAGGCATTGTGCTAAGTGTTTTACAAATATTAACTTCTTCCAATCGTGCGATTGCTACTGATCCTGTTTAACTCTTGTTCACATATTCCTATAAATTCTCCATAGGGGTTCCACCTAATGTATTAAAAAAAAAAAACCAAACCTCTGGTCTTTTAACATTACTTGGGCATCTGTGCAACATTCAGCCCTATGTATATGTTATCCCTCACAGGATTCCCTACAAGAATGGCCTTGCTTCTTTTTGAATCACAGACTGCTTAGCTATTTTTACACTATTTCTTACACATGGGTCATTTATCATTGGTAATACATTGCAGCTTCTTTAGGCTTTAACATATATCTGTCTATTTCCCTTTATGTTACATGCTAATCTGATTCTTCAAAGATTGTGATATTCCCAGATTTTCTAATATAGAGCATTACCAGAAGAATACTGGTGCTAAAAACAGATGGAGTTTTGTTCCATGAAGCATCTTGGGATAGGTAAAAGCACTGTATGTTCCTCCAGCTGCTTTCCAGTCTACTCTTTTCCTCTTATTCAAATCTGGGCCCTGTTCCACATCCATTTGAAGCATCAATCCAAGATAAATGTACTAATGAACTAGCTCTGAGGATTATCTAATCAACTGTATATTATAATATGGAAAACAGGCTTTCTTCATTCATTTTGCTTTTTCCAGTGTGAACATTTTCTAAGTGATCGTAGCTCTCATCTACAATAAGAAGCACGTGAGGGACTTCAAAATCTACAGGAAATCCCTCCTCAACATGGACTCTGAAGTGGACTTCCTCTAGATGGTGGTAAGCATCTCAGGTGAACATATATTGTGGTTTTATGCTTCACATGACATTAAGAATCAAAGAACAATGAAATATTTATAGCGGCACCTTTTGTGATAGCAAAGAAATGGAAACAGAACATTAAATGAGGAATAACTAAACAAACTGTGGTATATGAATATAATGCAATATTACTGCGATATAAGAAACAACAAACACAATGAATACAGAGAAACATGTGAAGATTTATATGAACTGATAGAAAGTGATGTAAGCAGAGCCAGGAAAATAACATATACAATGACCACAACAATGCAAACAGAAAGAACAATCACCACAAAAAAAATTAAACTGAATACTGTGAAATTATGAAGAACAAATTTGGCCCCAAAGAAAAGATATAAGAAAACACACTTTTCCCCATCCTTTAGAAGAAAGACAGGCCCATGGCAATGGAATACTATATCTTATTATTTTCAATGTATTAGTTGGTTTTAATGAAATTTTTGCCCTTTTTCCTTTTTTTAAAAAAAAATATTTGTTATAAGAGATGGCTCTCAGAGGAGGAGGATGGATACAGGAAGAAACATCAGTGACGTAAAAACAAGATATCTAAACAAAAATCTATTATTTTTTAAAAAAATCAAAGAACTGTTAAAAGTTTTCCCTGTGATTTTATCTAACATACTTTGGATGATCTCAACATAAATAAGGGGGAGAAAACTTCTGGATCTCTTTAAAGCGAAATTGTGCTCTATTAAAATTTACAATTCACAGAAGTGAAGGAAAGACAGAAAGAATCACAAATAGGACAGTTCTGAAATGTGTAGTTTTTATACATATAAGAAATGTAAGCAGCATATATTAGATATCCACAGTTACATATACAATCCTTTTCGGATCTACTACGTATATGGAATGCTCATTTTATTTGGCAATGAAATCAAACCAAAAAGAATCAAATTTGTTTCATAGTTTAAAAAAGGTTGGATTTTTATCTTTTATACCTATCAGTTGTCCAGTTATGAAGATGTGGTCTGCTAAAGAATTTCATCTGTGAAAGACTAGCTGTTTCCTTCTCATCTTTTCATCAAGTATGTCTTTGTTAAATTATGGACATCATTCTCATAAAAATTTTACAAGATGAGAATTGTTAGTAGTTCTTGATTCACTATCAATCACTTTTTTGGAATGGTAATGCCATTTGTGATTTTAACCGATCATTCAGTAGACTGCCCAACTTCAAGCACTCAGACTCAATTCCACAATGTCTTCTAGCACAGATGTCTTCTGTGTATTCTTGGTCAGGTCCAGCTACTATTCCTAACTGTTTTTCCATTTCTTAATATAAACAGTGGAAATCTAGATGCTAGCTTCCCAATGTGATTTTCCACTGTCATTGATGAAGAAAAGAATTTTTACAAAAATGCCAATAGATTTGTTCAGTTTTTCACCAATTAATTATTTTTCTAATTTTCATTTTTCAAATGCTCTTGAGATGATCTGGCTTTCTGCTACCTCTTTTCTCTATACCATTTCCTTTTTTTTTTTTGGTGGAGCCAATACAACTCAAAATCTTTTACCATCATCCTCTCAGCTCTTGCAAATTAGTAAATATTTTAGAGTAGTATTGATCCCAGGTAACTCACTATTCTCCATCAGCAGCTCTACTTGGTCAGCTTCCTTGGAACACCATGACCCCACAATGGGTAGCCCCTAGTGGCCTCCCTTCTTCCTTCCCCCCCTGGGCTTTTTAGCTTCATTTTGTATGCTGTCTTGCCCCATCAGATTGTATGCTCCTTAAGGGTAGCGACTGTCTTTCTTTTTTCTTATTTGTATCCTTAGTACAATGACTGACACATAGAAGGCACTTAATAAATGTGTACTGAATTTTAACTGAATCCTGGGAAATGTATTTCGCCACTTGGCAAGGAGACAAGGTGTTTTCTGGTTGAAGTGGTTTCTAAGTTCTTTGGTCTCCTTATTGTAGTGACTGCTTTACAACTAGCACATGAATAACTGGAAAAAGGAGGTGATCAACCACGTAGTGAGAATTAAAGTTAGATATGCAAGTGCTCCTAAGATATTGAAGAACACAGAAGACTTCCAGCACATTGGCTGGATTCTTTATAAATGTTTGTGATAAGCAGAGACAAGCAACATACAGAACAATGTGCTGATAGATAATCCCAAGATGAGAAGAGACGCCCATGTTAAGAAAATCAGTGATCCATTTAAGTATTGAAAAAAATACATCTTATTATCATATTAAAACCCTCTCAAAACATAAGATGAAGTATACGTTCAATGCACAGAAATAATTTTTTAAAAAATACAATATTAATACTCAAAGTACAAATATACTTTACCAATGCAAGGGCAGTTTTTTCTAATTTTAATCCCATCTCAGTTCTAGTTGGGAGGAATCCCATTAAGCTAGTGATTTCATGGAGTGAGTAGATTTCAGGATACTTTTTTACTTGTTCAACTGAAGCACTTAAAAATTGCTATAAGAAAAAGAAAGAAGAATCAGTATGCACCCTATTTTTCTAACAATGTCACAAAACAAAACTACTTGCATAATTATTTTAGGTCTAAAATAAAAAAGCAAAACATGGGTGCAACTGAACGTAATTCCAAATAAGACATAATGAATGTGAAAATAGTCATATTATTTAGCAACCACTATCCATATTCTGAATATTCTTAATCTATTCATGTCTGACTTTTCATTAAAATGAAGACAAATTTTTAGCTGTTACTTAGAAAAGATTCAACAAAACTAAAATTAACAAGCGTATAAGAATAGAAAACAAACAGTAAACTGTTATTCAGGCTGTTGATGAAAGCAAATACAAAATGATTATAATAATCTTTTCACTGGCTACTGAGACAATTAGAAAAATTAATGGAATTTAAAACTGTAACTTTAAAAGATAACAAAACACCATGAGATGATTTAAACACCTGAAAATCATGTTACTGAAAGTATCAAAAAAAGGTGAGATGATTTTTTTTAATTTTTAAAGTATTTAATTTTTCCAATTACATGTAAAAACAATTTTTAATATTCATGTTTTAAAATTTTGAGTTTCAAATTCTTTTCCTCCTTCCCTCATCTCCCCCCACATTGAGAAGGCAAGCAATATGATATATATTATACATGTGCAGTCACACAAAACATATTTCTGTATTAATCACGTTGTGAAAGAAAACAAAGACCAAAAAAAAAAAACCATAAGAAAAATGTCTTAGATTACCGTATTGCTGAGAATGAGCTAAGTCATTCTCAGTTGATCATCATATAATATTGCTGTTATTGTGTACAACGTTCTCCTGGTTCAGCTCACTTCACTTTGCATCAGTTCATGTAAGTCTTTACAAGTTTTTCTGAAATCATCCTTATCACCATTTCTTATAGCACAATAGTATTACATCATAATCATAGACAACTTGTTCAACCATTCCCCAACCGATGGGCATCCCCTCAATTTCCAATTCTTTGGCGAGGCAAGTTATATTTGATTTTAACAGCAAGGATCATCTCCCTTCCAAACTGCTTGCAAAATATTAACGAAACTTAGACATTTAATTACAAAGAAAATTGAAATGCATAATTTTACTCTTAAAGTCCATACTGATTGTGAAAACAAACAAGTGATTAAGGAAACAAAGAATTTATTTTCTTTTTTTTTTGAGTTTTCCTGTCTTTTATTTGCTATCTATGTGCCTGGATAAGTCACTTGGACCTCAGTTTCCATGTTAATAAACTAATGAGGTTGCACTAAATGCACTCTTGGGTACCATGTAAACCTATGACCTTCAGTTGATTGTTAATTTGTTTTACCTTAAAAAGTTAAACACAGGAATAGGTCTTTAAGAAAGAAAGTATTTTTTTTCATTCATAAGTATAGTAGAACCCCATGATAATATATATCACTCAACAGAGCTGGATATACAGTGGAATAAATCATGCATCCTTCAAAGCCTGATTCCCTTAAAGCTCTAGCAAATTTGCTTGGCCTACTCTAAGAACCTAATCTTTATGACCCTGCCCATGGAGCCTCTGCATTTGAAACGGAAAAAAACCCTTGCCCTTCATGGCATGAAGGAACAAATACCAGACCATAAATTCCTACAGATGAGCAGGAAGAGCCATACGGACATCTGAGAGTTCGGGACATCTGCAGAAAGGATGTTGTGTAGTTGAGCTTCAACGGAAGAATAAAGTTTCTTTTTTTTTTTTTTTTACAATCATATTAAACACATTTTCACATTAGTGATGTTATAAGTAAAAATTAAAACCAATAGGAGGAACCATCAGAAAAAGGAAACAAAACTCAACAGAAGAGGAAAAAAATAGCAATTCGACTTCCATAGTTATTTCTTTGGATGTGGATAGCATTTTCCATCACAAGGCTTTGGAGATGTCTTAGATCCTTATATTGCCAGGAAGGGTTAAGTTTCAATATTAGTCATCACACAACGTGGCTGTTATTGTGTACAATGTTCTCTTGGTTCTGCTCACTTCACTCAGCATCAGACTATACAAGTCTTTCCAAGTTTTTCTGAAGTCAGCCTGTTCATCATTTCGTACAGCACAATAGTATTCCATCACATTCATATACCACAACTTGCTCAGCCATTCCCCAATTGATGGGCATCCTCTCAATTTCCAATTCTTTGCCACCACAAAAAGAGCTGCTATGAATATTTTTGTACATGTACGTCTTTTTCCCATTTGTATGATCTCTTTGGGATATAGCCCTAGAAGTGCTATTGCTGGGTCAAAGGGTATGCACATTTTGATAGCCCTTTGGGCATAGTTCCAAATTGCTCTCCAAAATAGTTGGATCATTTCACAACTCCACCAACAATGCATTAGTGTTCCAATTTTCCCACACCTTCTCGAACATTTATCATTTTCCTGTTTTGTCATGTTGGCCATTCTGATAGGTGTGATGTGGTACCTCAGAGTTGTTTTGATTTGCATTTCTCTAATCAAGAGTGATGTAGAGCAATTTTTCATATGACTATAGATGGCTTTAATTTCTTCATCTGAGAACTGTCTGTTCATATCCTTTGACCATTTATCAATTGGGGAATGGCTTGTATTCTTATAAATTTGACTTAATTCTCTATATATTTTAGAAATGAGGCCCTTATCAGAGACACTGGTTGTAAAATTTTTTCCCCAATTTTCTACCTTCCTTCTAATCTTAGTTGCATTGGCTTTGTTTGTGCAAAAACATTTCAATTTAATGTAATAAAAATCATCTATTTTGCTTTTCATAATGTTCTCTATCTCCTGTTTGGTCATGAATTCTTCTGTTCTCCATAGATCTGACAGGTAAACTATTCCTTGCTCTCCCAGTCTGCTTATAGTATCAGCCTTTATATCTAAATCATGTACCCATTTTGACTTTATTTTGGTATATGGTGTGAGATTTTGGTCTATGCTGAGTTTCTGCCATTCTCTTTTCTAGTTTTCCCAGTAGTTTTTTTCAAAGAGTAGGTTCTTATCCCAGAAGCTAGGGTCTTTGGGTTTATCAAATAATAGATTACTATAGTCACTGACTACTGTGTCTTGCATATTTAGTCTATTCCATTGATCCACCACTCTGTTTCTTAGCCAATTTTACTCTTAAATGAGAAAATAAGAAATGCATAGCTTTAGTCTTAAAGTCCATATTGATTGTGAAAACAAACAAGTGATTAAGGAAACAAAGAATTTATTTTCTTGGGTTAATTGCATTATCTTCTAATTTCATGACTCTGAATCACAAATACTTTCTCCACCTGCTAAATATAATTTGAGAACATTTTCGAACCATTTTGACCAAACATGTAGTCTGAAAAAAATATCCAGATGCTCTTTGTAACAAACAGTCTTTTTGTAGTATCATTTTTCTTTTTGTATGAATAATCCTAAAAAAAACTGGAGCTGTCCTACTCATGCAATTTCATATCTCCCCTAATTTCATATTATTCACAATACCAGTTTATGCTGATCTTCTTAACTCCTGGTGTCATTTCTAACCAAGGTAGGTAAAAGGCTAATTTTGTATAAATGAGGTTTGGGTTTTATTTGTTTAGTTTTTTATTCCTGATTTTGTTGATATCTTTTGTTTTTACTTCACCTTTTATTCTTAAATATATCCTTCCTATCTTACCCTTCCAGAGAGCCATCCTTTGTAACAATGAATAAGAGAGAAAAAAAAAGCAGTTAGGTACAACTGAGCAACACTATGTCTGACAGGAATGGCCCCAACCCACCTTGCCTATAAAGAAAAGAGTATGTTTTACTCTTCCCTTCTTTCTGCCTCAGCTTGTTCATGATAATCATAGAGCACTTATATGTATTTTTTATTTTTGACTTACATGTTGAAGTCTTGCTGTATATTACTTTCCTAGCAATTTTTACTTCATTCTGCATCAAGTTCTGTCTTCTCATGTTTCTCTCTAGTCTGCATATTCATCATTTCTCAGGGCACAGTAATGTTATATTACACGCATTTACCACAACTTGTTTAGTCATTCCCTAGTTGATGGCCATATACTTTGTTCTCAGTTCTTCGCATCTAAAAAAAGTGCTGCTACAAATATTTTGGTGTTTATGGGACATTTCTATCTTTAATATCCTTGGGACATATGTCTACTAATAGGATCTATGGGACAAAGGGTTTTGGACATTTTAGTAATTTTCTGTGTATTGATTCCTAATTGTTTTCCAGAATATTTAGATCTTTTTTTCTAAACAATAACCTATATACATGAGAAAAAGGATTTCATCACTTAGTCTTGATAATTTTATTCATTGACTTTTCCTGTACTTGTTTGAAGTGTTTGGAACTTGAATAATCTGCTTATCTTTGGTTTTAAGTTTTGGTTTTTTGCAGGAATATGTCAAATGTCTCTTTTTGGTGGAATGGATAACTTCTGTTGAGGATTAAGTACAGGTTTGCAGGATATGTTACATAGGATTACAGCCTTATCTCTTTCGTTTTTTCATGAATGCAGAATAGCAATGTTATTTAAGTTGTCTTTCTCATCTGCCTTTCTCTTGGCTACTTCCAAAGTTTATTGTTTGTTACTGAAATTGCAAAATATAACCACTTCACACCTTGGAATTTGAAATTCAGGGTATTTTTCTAGCAGACACTTCTAGATTCTCTAAATTTATGCTTTATTATCTATATTCAGAAGTTCAAATCTAGACAATCTTCTATTATTTCCTGCATTGTGGAAGAGAGGTTCTCTTACTTGGCATATTCTTTTGGGAGACCTTATAATTCTTGTTACCTCTGTTCATCCTATCTTCAAGGTCAATAGTAGATTTGCCTTACAGCTTCTACTTTTTTAGATTTTCTATCATATGTTCAATTTTTGTTTTGGGTTTTTGAATTCTATGTTGAAAGCGCTGATTTCCAAACTAAATTTATTCTTAATTTCTTCTAAGAGTTTTGTTTCTCTTTTCAACCATTCTGGAATTCTTGCTATTGTTCCA